ACCCTTGTGCTTGCCAAGGAAGCACTTACTCCACTGAGCCATCTCCCCAGCCCCCTGGATTGTTCTACCTTTATGGCTTTATATTCAACATTTATTTTGATTCACTTGACATTTATTCTGATATAAGAGATTTATTTTTCCATATGTTTACAAAGTTGTTCCAAAAATATTTTTCATAATGTTCATGTTGATATCAATGATATGAAATATTACCTTTATACTAAGAAGTATTTGGCTTATTTGTGATATTTTATTGTGCTGCACTTACTATCCCTTCATGTACTGGTACCATGTTGCTCTAATTACTGAGATTTTTATTTTATATTTTATTTTTAATCAGTTACTATTTTATAGACTTACAAAGTGTTTTGAGTTTTGTCAAATTCCTTTATAGCATCATTGAAGATTTTTCTCCTTAAATTTATAGCTATATTAGTAGATTTTCTAATAGTGAGCCATCATGGCATTCCTGAAGTAAACTCCACTTGGTTATGAAGTATCATTCCTTTAACGTAGTGGCAAATTGTCATTGCTAATTTTTTATTTATGATTTTTACATTGATGTTTCGAGGTGCAGTTATTCTGTAGATTGGGCCACTTGTCTTTATCTTTTCAGATTTCAGTAAAGATAGTATACTGAAAATCACAACATAGGGAATTAACAAGTATATATTAATTTGCAGAAAAAAAGTGCAACAGAAAAGTGTTAAGGAACCTAAGACCTATAAAAAATTTTTTTGAAACTAAGACACAAAGAGAAACAAAAGAAGATGAACAGCTAGTGAAATCCATGTGAGATACAATCAAAAGATCAACCTGTGTGTAACTGGAGTCTCAGAAATAGAAGAGAGAATTAGTGGAATAAATCAATACTTTAAGAGATACTGACTGAGGGCTGGCCGGCCAGATAGCTCAGCAGATTAAAGCACCTTCTTAGGCAGATGCAGGGACCTAGGTTCGATCCATGGCGTGCTGTGCTGGCTCCGCCCCCAGAGTGTGCCGAGACAATGATTGAGACTGGGCGTGGTGGTGCGCGCCTATAGTGCTTGGGAGCTGAACACAGGAGAAGCATGAGTTTGATCTATGTAGCAAGACCCTGTAGACCCTGTACTAAACACACACACACACACACACACACACACACACACACACACACACACACAGATACTGAGAATCCCCCAAATGAGATTAATCCTATGTTCACAAAACTCAGCAAGCCTGTGATCACGCAAATATAAAGATAACTGGTCATAAACATATTGTTAAAATGCTGAAAATTAAAGAGAAAAGACTATCATAAAAGTACCCAGAGGAAAAAAAGCACACTAGTGATGCTAATGATGCTAATGATTCTAATGGCAAGGTTTTCAGGTGACAGTAAAATGAGATTATTAAAGTGCTAAAGAGAGCTAGGCATGGTGGTGCATCCGTGTAATCCAGGCACTCTGGGAGGCTGAGGCAGGAGAATTACAAACTGGAACCCATTCTGGGCAGTTTAGCAATTTAGCAGGACCCTCTTTCAAAAACTAGAAAATAAAAAAGGGTTGGGGATGTAGCTCAGTATGAAGAGCATGAGTTCAATTCCCGGTGTAGACAAAGAAAAAGTGTGCAAAGAAAGCAGTGCTAGCTGGGGCTGTAGTTCAGCGGCACAGGACCTGCCGGGCAAGCACAAGGTTCTGAGATGGATTGCTGTCACCAAAAAGCGAGAGAGAGAGAGAGGGAGAAAGAGAGAGAGAGAGAGAGAGAGAGAGAGAGAGAGAGAAAACAATGCTAATTTTAAAAGCTGAAAAATTTCATAGGATTCTTGTTTGGCATTATTTTTACCATCATACTAAAAATAATATTCCATTATTTTGTTGGTTTCCATTGAAAAGGCAAATATAAATCCAACTGTGGATCCTTCGCAGATTAATTTCCCTTTTATTTTTCTTCACTGCTTTCTGAATTTTATCTTTGGTTTCTTTAGTTTCATTGTAATATATTTAGGCGTGAATTTCTTTAATTTATCCCTTTTGATTTCATCAGGCCCTTTGAATTGTAAACTGATATTTATTAATTCTAGGATTAATCATCATTTCTTGAAGTACTATCTTTGCTTCATTACCTTTTTTTCTGACTTTCCAATTAAAGTGTTCAACCTCATGCCGCCTGTCTTGTCTCTTACTCATCCATGTGTGTTTCACATGTACTTTATTTCTTTTCTTCCTCAGATTGCCTTTCGTCATCTTTTCATAAAATTCTCTTATAAATGTCTTCATTGGGGTTTTTTCTTTGAAGTTTTTCTTTACTTAATTGAAGCTATTTTTTCCTATAGTGCTTAGAACGTGAATCTTTTCTAATTTTTTAGGTCTTTTTTCAATTCCCTGACCTCTGCGGATAGCCTGAAGCTCAGCTGTTTGTTCCTCTGAGCACTCAAAGCATAACTGGTGTATGGTCAGGTCTTCATCACCACCTTTATCACTGAGATACAGTGCCTGACACCTGCAACCCAAAGGAGAAGAGTTTAGATTTGCTCACAGTTTGTAGAGCTTCAGTCCTTAATCAGCTGGCTCCATGGCAGGGCAGCATTGCTGAGGAGGCATGACAGAAAAAGCTGATTGTGTCCTGGTGGCACAGAGGCGGAGTAAGGGGAGGAGCTGGAGGGGAGGAGAACCCTTTCAGGCCATGTGCTCGGTGAGCTTTCTTTTCTGAAGAAACCTCACCTTCTGACAGTGAGTCAGCTATTATAAACCCTGGTAATCCAATCACCATCCAAAACCCCTACCTTTGAGTGCACATGGCCCTTGGAGGATATCTAGACATAAGCTATAATGTTCTATAGCTGATAACTCCCGGTATCTGGGTTTTTCTGCACCTATTTCTGTTTTTCTCGTATACCTGGTTTTAACATTTGGAGTTTTCTTTCTTTGTGCATCTCACTATGTTGGACTGTGTGCTTATTTTTTTTAAAAAATAGTTAAACAGCTTAAAACTTTGCATGAAGGTGTCTTTCTCTGAACAGAAATGATTTGCTTTATCTGGGTATTTCAAGACATGGTCGATCTCCATAAAATGCATAGCTTGAAGCTCTCTGCAACCTATAGGAAATTCCGTCATGGTCATCAGCTCTGAACTAAGACTAATCTATTTCTGGTTCACCCTCGTCTTGGGACCTAGTCCTTTGTGGGGGTTATGTGTGGGCCACCCTTGTAGGAAGGATCTTTCTGGCTTAAGCTAATTAATGTACAAAAAAGTGCTCAACATCATCCATAATTAAGAATATGCAAATTAAAACAACAGTAAGTTTTCATGCATCAGATCATTCAATTTCACTCATCAGAAAGTTTAAAAGTTTTTCAGGAAGAGATTTACGTGAAAATATTGACAGTTCTTACCTCTAAACATCAAGCTAAGGGCCGGCCAAATAGCTCAGCAGATTGAAGTGCCTGCAAGCAGGCGCAGGGGTTCGATCCCCAGCCAGCCATGCCGGCCCCACCCCAGGGGCATGCTGAGCTGGCAACTGAGGCTGGACGTGGTGGCGCACGCCTGTAATCCCAACTCTTGGGAGGCTGTAAACAGGCGGATCACTACTGGTCTGATCTAGTAGTGAGACCCTGACCACCCTGTAGACCCTTCCCTAAACTACAAATAAATAAACATCAAGCTAGGGATTGAGTGAAGACATTTTAATTTCATTGATGTGTTTCTGTAATACTTGCCATTTTGACTTTATGATAAATTTTTAATACAAGTATTTTAAACTTTAGAACCAAGGTCTCGATGCTTACCGTGTCTTTACATTTTGCTGTATCCAAAGTGACAGAGCCTGTGGAACCTTAAAATGCATAAAGAGCTGTCAGGGTATTTCATGGCCAGTTGGTTCATACAATAAATAAACCAGAAAGGTTTGCTAAACAAGAAGGTGCAGATAATTACATTTTCTGGATTCGAATGAAAATTTGAGAGCAACAAAACACTAGCAGCACTTAAATCTTCCTTTTTGAAGTTTGATGTCAGAGTGACACACCCGCTGTAAGGTGGCAGCAGTCAGGTGGCACCGAGTTGGCAGGCCTGCGTCTGTGCAAGCGCAGGGGCCTCCCTTGTACACCTAGAACTAAGCTGGCGGGCATCCTGAGTCAAGTCAGGGACTTAAATTGCTGTGCTAAACACAAGTGTTCCAAATATTGAAAAAATTAATAATTTAGAATATATTTTTATTCTTTTATCTTTTCTGTGTACCCACTACCCAGACATGGCAAGTATGTGTGTTTTATTTTGGTTGCTGTTGTTTCAAGGCGATTCCTTTTAAGTAGTGGATTTTTTATTTTTAGAGTTACAGAATCTTCTTTCCTGACCACTTCCTTGATTGGACTTAAATCCTCTCATGCTTGCACAGCTCTTCTCAGTTATATTTTTTGCAATCACTTTAGAGCCAGAAAGACAGCTCATGCGTGGAGTAAAGATGGGTTATATTCTAGGACTCAGTTGCCCTCTTGTCAGACTGTAAGATTGAAAACAAGTTATGAAGAAGGAATTGTCTTGGAACATCCACCACAACATTCATATACTATGTATTTCTCACAGTGACCAAGAAAGGTGGCGCATTGGTTAAATTTTTCAGTCTTGTTTTATTTCTGAATTAATGGAATGGGGAAGAAAGAAATATCTAATGTTTTCGCTGTATTCCCTAACTGAAGCTACAAATAAAATAGATTACAAGTAATATTCTAGAATAAATCTGAAAGTTGTTTGTACTCTGTTAATTCCTAGGTGAAGCAATATTTGTATCTCTCTATGGAGCTGCCACAGATATGAATATAAGGCTGGACAAGAACTCTGTGACCATTGAGAAAACCTACATCTCTTTGGCCAATCAGAGGACCGTCACCATTCACAACCGCAGTAACATCATTGCCCATTTCCAGTGGAAAATATTTGCCACCCAAGAAGAGGAGGACAGAGAAAAATATAGGTTTGTAATGAAAGTCACCTATTTTCAGCAACAAGGGGCTATAAAATTCAAGTTTATTATGGCTTTTGTAGTAAGTTTCTGACCAACTCAATGTGAAATTTTTATGAATTGGTTCCAGTGTCTGAAACCTTTTTGAAGCTGCTTATTTAAAGAATCTGAACTGGGTACATGAAAAAACATGTTGGGCATTCTCAGTCTCACCCTGATCATAATGTAGCAATAACAGAACTAAATTTCAAGACCAAATAGCTCACTCTAGCCTGTGTATTCCTTTTCATAACTCTACCAGGTCCTCCCACTTTCATAAAAAGTTTCTAAAAGTAATCTATTTTCGGTTGGCATCAGTATTTGCTACCCAAGAAGTGCAAAGGTATCTCCAGAAAATAGAAAGTAGAAGGAACAGAGAGGGCTTAGGTATAATGATTTTTATATTCTTGGTTTTAGTAACATGCTCTATCCCTGCAAACCATGTAATAATTTAATAATGATTGTTGGTATCTTTAATAGTTTTCTTTAATCTTTTAAAAAATGATACCTCAGCCAGTAGAGAAAATTAATAAGATGTAAAACCAAGCTGTTTAACTCATCACTGTTAAATTTTTAACATCTTTCTACATTGAACCCGTTTTTGCCTCTTTTATACTGTATTTTCATTTTTCTCTCTTTTCCCAAATTAACGCTTTTGCTGCTTTCATTGGAATTTATTTCGGCCTTTTTTATTTGCCTTTCCATTTTCATTAGAGATTAGCCCTGGGAAGCTTCAAAGCTTTGTCTAACACCAAGTTGGTATGGGATAAAAATAAAAGTCTTAGGTCCGTGGGAAGCAGGTAGAAACCCCCCAGTGCGCTGCCCCTAATTGAATCAGAAGGAGCTGTGACAATGGCAGGACACAGTAGGCCAGCAGCTTTTTCATGCAGACAATGAACTTTAATCACAGGATCACCACTGTGCCATCTTTAAAAGAAAAGCCTTTCCTGCTTACCAACTTCATTTGGTCTCATTGTAAAGAAATGTCAGTGGTAGAAAAGGCAAAAAAATCCATCTGCTGCTTCTTCAGTTGGCAGATGCTAACTGGCAGTTAGATCAGAATGGCCCAACATATATGAAGATAAAGTGAGCGAGTGGGACAAATAAGAAGGTGAAACAGCAATGAAAGCAGGGCTTTGATAGCATGATGTCCCGTGGGGAGAATGAGTGCGTGTCACATACCTGGGAGGGGAAGCTGGTTTCGCTTCCCCCTTGTCTGTGTTTGACTGTGTGCAGTATGTGCCTGAGGCCATGGCGATGTCCAAGAAATATTTAAGGAATGTTTACATATTAGTCGAGAGAGAGAGAGAGAGAGAGAGAGAGAGAGAGAGAGAAGATGGAAAAAAGAAAGACAAGTATTACCAGAGACTAGAGAATATAACTGGACAACACATGCGCAGGCTTTCCCTCTCCACTTCTCCTCCCCTTACACGCCCCTATCTCTTTGGTATCATTATTCTTGCTTTTCGCTCACATTAGTTTCCTTTTCCTATCTCTCTTGCTCCTCCTAGCATTTCTTCTAGCACTTTTATAATAAGGGGAAGGGATAGCATAGCATTTTCATAATCATGGTTGGAGGTCTAATGTTACCATCCAGATCATAGCCCTGTCATACAATGAACTTGAAAAGTAGCTTTTGATAGCTAAGTAAGAATACCCTCACTTTCACTTCGGGTAATGTACAGCAACACAATATAACCCCAAACCAGATTGGCTTCTCTAAGTGAAACGTCTATTGACAGTGCTGCCTTCTTTTCCTCTTCCCCTTCTCATGAGTGCCAAAGCCCAGGGAAAAGGGGCAAATAGAAGCCATCTGTGTCTGGCTTCTTATTGGACAAAGAGTGGGCTCTTTCCTCTCTTCCTTCTCTTGTTCCTTGACCCATCCCCAAGTGTGCCTTGCCTTCCATATTACTCGCCATGGATTCTTGTCTTTGGAGTAACTGCCATGAAATTCCCACTTGCTTTAAAAACAAGGCAAGCACAGAGCTCTTCGTACTTTACTGAGCGCTGAGTCCTTGTCTCAGCACAGCTGCCCCCTCCAAGGTGCTGCTCTTGGGATGAATATGAGCCTCCTCCTCTTCCACCATGTCACACATTCTCAGCTTGTGTTCCAGGCCACACAAGCAGTTGACAAAGTGGTGTGTTCTTTGACAGCTTGCTTATCAGTAGAGGTGTGTCCTTCCCTGCAGGAAGCGCTTTAGCCAAGGGGAAGGAAGAATGTTTTCTTGAACTCCAGGCAAAGCCTGTACAGATATCCCTGGAATGATCTTTGTATGTTTCTCTTGCTCATGTTGGGAACATTATCTTCACTTTCTCCCTGGATTTCAGCAGCTTCTGTAGTTAAAATTATAGAGAAAGGTGGACTTAGGGCCTAAGCTTGGATTATAGAGGACCTATTCTAAGTGGACTGACCCGTATTTCTAAAGACTAAAAATTTCTTTTTCAGAACCCCAAGGACCTACAAGTTGACTTTAGTGTTATAACTAAACATTAATGTTATAACTAAACTCCAGTTATCACATGGCAGGGGGCAAAACGTTCTCAAAGATTACCTTGAAAATACTAATAGTTTTAACAGAAGCCCTGGACTCCTGTTCTAGCCATCATGGCTTCTTGCGCACCAACATAATGATGTGCAAAAACTTGGATTTATGTTCTCCCAGGGGCTGAATTGTAGCCCATGGAAGTTCTGTTCCTTCCTGGCAGCTTATTATTTCCATCTGAGGAGGGCTGACCTTCCTCTTCACCCAGCTCATTGTGTCAGTGCAAGCTGTGGGACACAGGTCCAGATGTAGCCACGTGGAA